TTTTTCCTTTCCTAAAACCTTGTCTAGTCATAATAGTGGGTGCATTTTGGCTGATGTTATTTGTTAATGTCAAACCTAATTGATCTAGGACATCTCATCCCCATAAATTTATGGGAAGATGATCCAATACATATGGCTGTATATTTCCTTCACATCCTTCAGGATCCTTCCAATCTAATACCATTGCACTTCTATGGGGATTAGTCGCCACTCCTAGGCCTCAAAGCGTTTGAGTGGCTTGTTGTAATGGCCAATGTTTTGGCCATTCTTGACAAGAGATGATGCTAAGGTCTGCGCCTGTATCCAGTAGCCCATTAAATTCATGTCCTTGAATATTTAGTTTTAGCATGGGGCGAGAATCTAAATTTAAAGAAAGCATAGCCCAATCTACACCTGTGGAGCCTAATCCCTTGGAACCTCTTTCTATAGCACGACTGGAAAATTTATCATGTAGGCTGGGTATTATTAGTAACTGTGCTATTCTATCTCCTGGTGAAATTACTGATATACCCTTTGGAGAACTGGCTATAATTTTTATTTCACCTTCATAATCGGGATCAATTACCCCAGGACTTATCATAAGTCCTTTTAGAGTAGAAGAGCTGCGTCCCAATAATAAGCCTACTGTTCCTTTGGGAAGAGGTCCTTTTACCCCTGTGGGAATGATTTGAACTCCCATTTCTGGAGTTAGTACTGCTCTGGCGGAGGCACAGATGTCCAACCCTCCACTCCCTCTGGTTTGTCGGATGAGGGATCTGATGGACAATGTGTCCTGGGCACTACCCTGATGGGGTTGCTGGGTTCCTCCAGTGCTCCGTATATTTGTGGTTTTGGGCCCCAGAGCATTGGGCCCCCCTGTCCATTTTTTGGCAATGGAGCCCGATGCCTTTCTCCACGATATCGTGGATAAACACCTGGTCCTTGTTCGTTTTTTGATAATGGAGTACCCTCTATGGTGGTTTGAGAACGGCATTCATTAGCCCAATGTCTCCCTCTACGGCATCGTGGGCAAATACCTGGTATTCTACTCCTTTGATACCTAGTTTTGTTAAACCCTCCTCCTATGGGGCAATTCCTTTTAAAATGTCCTATTTGTTCACAATTGTAGCATGTTCTTGGCCTGGCATCTAAAGCCTGTTTTACTGCAGCTGCCACAATTTGCCCTTGTTCATTAATGTCTCTGGCATCTAAAGCCTGTTTTACTGCAGCTGCCACGACTTGCTCTTGTTCATTAATGTCTTTACATAATTTAATATATGTGTTTAAATCTTCATGTTTCCATGGTCTAATGATATCTCTGCACCAACGATTCGCTTGCTCATAAGCCAGTTGTTTTAGTAATGGCATTGCTTGTTCTGTATTCCCAAAAACTCTGGTAGCTGTTTGAATAAGCCTATCTACAAATTCAGCATAAGGTTCATTAGCTCCTTGTATTACCTTAGATAATTGACCTTGTAAACCTCCATGTCCTTGTAAAGTCTTCCATGCCTTAATTGCATCTACAGCAATTTGTGCATATACACCAGGATCATATGCAATTTGTTGCTGCTGATCCTCATAAGGTCCCTTTCCTAACAGCATATCTAGATTTCTCTGAGGATAACCAGCTGCTGCATTTCGCCTAGCTGTCTCCTTGCAAAATTTCTCATTGGCAACCTTACATAACAGGTATTGTCCTCCATTTAGCACAGCTTTACACATATTAGCCCAATCTGCTGGCGTCATGTTCAAGTTGTTAATGGATTCAACCATGCTTACAGTGAAGGGTGCTTGAGGACCATAGGTTGTTACAGCCTCTTTTAGCTGCTTCACTGTTTTGAAATTTAAAACATGGTAAACTCGCTGCCCTCCTGCCTCAAATACAGGGCATGTTAATATTTGAGATCTTGTCTCAGGATCCCAACTATCAACTGTGGGGGTTTGGGGCCTCCCAGCATATGGAGGTGGCCTTGTTAGTTGGACACTTACATCCTCTGGTGATAGAAAGGTATTAGTAGCAGTCTCCTGTAGAGGTGGTGCTGTTGGTTGGACACTTACACCCTCTGGTGATAGAAAGGTGTTAGTAGCAGTCTCCTGTTGTAACTTTCCCCCTGATGGCTTTTTCTGCTTTACACTTTCTTTCTCTGACTAGCTTGAGAGGCCTTCTCTTTTACTTGAATTTTTTCCTCTGTCTGACTAGTTCGAGAGACCTTCTCTTTTACTTGAATTTTTTCCTCTTTCTGACTAACTTGAGAGACCTTCTCTTTTACTTGAATCAATATGTCTTCTCCTTCCTCTACCTTTGTCTGAACTGAAGGTTTTGGACTAAGCAAACAAGATACCAACGTCCACAATGGCAATGTGCCAACTGGCAGAGTCCCTGGGTTTTTCTTTACTATTCTTTTTAAATCTTCACCATGATGGTTCCATTGTGATATATTTAACAACTCCTCCTTAAAAAGCCATGGGCTACATTTTTGTATTGTATCAACGTATGCCCTGACTGTTCTTGATTTTACTGAGATGCCTCCTTCCTCTAATAATTTACTTAACACTCTTTCAGTTTGTTTTTTACTAATTTCTGATCCCATATTTCTACTATAATACAACCCAACAAGATAACGCTTAACAAAACTGAAACAGAGTGAAACAAAATTGGAACAACACAAAATCATTATAATAGCCTCCTGAAATGTCCATCCGTCCTTTCTCCCTATCTGTTCCTCAGATGTGAGCGGTTATTCTTCCATCTTACACATCTCCAGGGACAGGCAACTTAAAACAAAAGTGAAACAAAATAACAAAAGAAGAATCTTAAAATGGCTACCCATCCTCTCGCCCTGCCCTCAGGGGCGAGCAGTTTACCTTTCACTTACCCTCAGTCGCTCCCTGTGCGAGCCACCAAATGCCGCAGTCTGGCTGGGCACAATCAGGAGCCACTTGTCAAAAGAAACTAACTTTATTTTTAGAACCACACACACCAAACAAAACAGCCTCTCAGGAAAAACCCTCAGAGCCCCAACTGCCACCACCGGCTTCCCACAAGCCTCTCTCTCCAACACAAGCCTCTCCACCTCCCACAATCCTCCTGCTCTTGAGGCCAATTGGCTGGGTCGCATGGGCAGAGCCAAAAAAGTCCCCCAATGAGCAGCTCCATGGTCTGAAAGGGCAAGGAAACAGCCCAGTGAGCATCACCGAAGAGGAGCCAATCAGCTAGATGTTGCTGGGGCCGCTGTGAGCCAATCATCAGCTGGCAGTCTGAAAGTTTGCTGGGGACCCTTAGGCTGTGGCTCTCAACACAGGGGAACCAAGGATGGGAGAAAGATGAAGGTGAAAAGGCCAGAACAGGATTAGGGGGGACAGAGGTGATGGTTCATTGCAGAATATTTAAGATTCTTGACCAAAAAAAATTATTCTTAAAGATCAGCAAAGTAGAGGTAGGGAATCAAGAAGATAAAGGGGGTGGGAAAAAGAAAAGGGGAATAAAATAAATCAAAATTATTCTATACCTACTGATGTATCACAATAAATTCCACTTTTGTGAAAAATTATAATGCACCAATGGGGGAAAAATACATGTAAATAAATAGAAGACCAGAGAATAAAGGAGATGAATAGGGGAAGGGAGAAGGGGAGGAAGAATGGGAAGTGTATTGGAGCAAATTATGTGCATATACAAATATGTCACAGTGAGCATAACATAATAAAAGAAAAAGAAAAGACAAAAATTACCTCTTGTAATTGAAATTAATTATGCATTTAAAGAATTACAAATTTCCATATTTTTCTGGAGCAAGTAATATGAGTGGACTTCATATGACACATCAGGACGCTGGCAGCTCAAGCAGAAAATGTAAACTGGTAGGCAGTGCTATGGAGTGGGCTGGGTCAAAGGTTTTAATAATGAGTGAAACAATATAAAAAAATCAATGGAGCCAACCCTCACCACACGCAGCCCTGGGGAGTGGGTTACAATTTCAGGTAGCCCAGTGCATATTTGGCAAACAAAGCAACTGATGAGTGGGTGCTCCTGCAGTACAGTTGTAGGTCCTCAGCTTGTGGACTGCACTGAGCCAGATCCCTGATGGGCCTGGAGTTTGGGTTGTGAGGAAAACTGGAAAATGGAGCTAAGAAAGCATGAAGACAGAAATGCAAAAGGACCATGTTTGTGCTGTCAAGGTGGTGGGTATCCTGCCTTTAATACCAAAAGTGAGTCTCCACAGTGTGTCCACACTGTGAAGTATTTAGCAGAACTCCTGAAACACATGTGCTCAGGCATGCTACCTTCTGCTTTCCAATGATAATCATGATCAGTCATAGAAACATCCTCAAAGATTGAGTAATTATGAAAAGATGAAGATAATATACATTTGGCTGCACAGATGAGCATTTGGACCAGTTTTTTATTTACCTAAGACATTAGCATGATGAAGGAGCCAGGATAGTTGTGGAAGGTCATGGAGAATAACCAGAACACTTGTTCCAAAGGGGACTATGTTTTTGTCTCAAAATAGAAGACAGTGATTTTGATTCAAATAGAGGAGGAAAATGGTGATCTAGTTCCTGGCCACTGTTTAGAAGGAATGGACTTCCAGCATGAACAATAGGACATGAAGCACAGAGAGATTGATGCCAAGGAGGCAGAAGTCAGGGCAGGAGTGAGCTGTACCTGTCAACCTCCTGAAAAGTACTTCCCTGCTGAAAGGGAGGACGACCATGGGTCTCCGTTCTTCCACTTAAACAGCACACTGTATTGTGTAGCTACAGAAGCAGTGACCCAGAGCCTTGTTTCCAGCTGACACAAAAACTCCAGGAAGTAATTTCCAGCTTGGAAGCATTTCTCTAACTCTTCTCAAGATAGCACTAAAACAACATGTAAGTAACGTATGAATCGTTCTCCGGAGGGGGGAAAATGAAAAATAATTGAGTACAAATTGCCTCATGAGACACTTCAGGTAAGGGCACTGCACTAAGCTCATTCAAAGGAACAGAAGTGTCTCTGGGAGGTCCTCCTTTCCCACCTCTGGCTCCTGCTTTCATACAACCTGCAAAAGCGTGAGACTTCAGTTCCACACTCTCACCCATCAGACTCGTCGTCCAGAAAATGGCGCCTACGATCCCGTTGCCTGAGCCGGTGTCAGTAGTCTCTTCTGAAATCTCCTCTGATGTGCCAGTCACTGAGAAGAAGTACAGCAAAGAGGAGGACCTGGTGTGTGGGGGTACCACCACATCACTGCATTCCATTATGACGGAACTATAGAGGGCGTGGTGGAAAGAAACTGTCCCCTTCCCGAGAGCAAGTTTGGTTCCAGGAGCAGATCTGGAGTCTGGAAACACTTCCGGTCACTCCTGGACTGCTCAAATCCAACACGTTGACTTCATAAATGAGTTGAGCAGAGGGAAGAACCGGAAGAACCTGGACACCAGCTGCCTCTTTTGGCACAATTGGAAAACGCAACGCTCCAACGTGCTGCAAGAGAATGGGAGCGGCACCAGCGTCCTGTCTGCAGGTGCGGTCCCCCATCTCATACCCTGAGTCCAAACCCGCTGCCTCCGGAGGAGAACCAAATTCGGTGTCATCTCTTTCTAGCAACATTGGTCAAAGTGTGCCCTTCTGCCTCCTCATCCCTGGGCAGGCTGGCCAGGGATCTGCAGTTGTGTTCTGGGAATTTATGACTGTGCTGTTGGGTTCCAAGGATGTTGGTGAGGCCCTGGTGGTATCCTCTCCTGAGAAGAAGCAGACTGGGGAACTGAGTTCTAGAATATTTGAATCTGGTGCTGTCTTCCAACAGAATAAGAAGGTCATGAAAAGACTGAAGTAGGAAGTCTGGCACCATTTTTTCACTGGGTCCCTGTGAATAGTTTTGAGTCAGTATGTCTACACTGCAGCTGGGTCATCATGCCCGGGGAAGAAAGGGAGCTTAGGCACCGGCCATTTGTGCTACAGATGCCACCATGAAAATGTTAGAATTAAAAAGGGCTTTCTGGGTACAAGTTTGGCAAACTCCATGGAAAATTCCTCCTCCAAATTAACTGGCTTTTTCTAATGATTTTTGTTTGTTTCTTCTTTTTATTCTTGTTATTTGTTTTGGTACCAGGGATTGAACTCAGAGGCACTGAACCATTGAGCCACATCCCCAGCCCCCCGCCCTTTTTTTTTTTTTTTGAGACAGGGTCTCCCTTAATTGCTTGGGCCTTGCTAAGTTGATAAGTCTGGTTTCAAACTCGCAATACTCCTGCACTGGGATTAAAGGCATGCAAAAAAATAATAAACTGGCTTGCCAGAGAGGCCAGAAAAAAATAATGTATTATATTTCCCATTAATAGCAAGAAGAGCTCAAAGCTGTAGTCATTTCTCTATTTGCTCTGCAGAGTCCCTAAAGTGGTATGCTTACACTGTGGCTGGACCAGCAGCAGCAGCAAGAATCCCACCAACCAGGGCACCAGCTGCCTCCTAACATCTGAAGAGGTTCCATGCCACCTGCTCAAGACCCATGTCTCAGAGACCACCTTGACCCACTCTTCAGGCATCCAAGGGCCACTGATCATGGAGTTATCTGGCACTACTCCTTTGACAACCTCAGTGAGAAGTTTTATGACCCTCACTCAGCCCCCCCCCCACAACACACAAAAATCACGTCTCATTGCTGAAATGATTGCATTTGGCCTTCAGCCATATTCTTTTGTAGACGATGTTGGCTTTAAAAGGTTGCTCAAATGCTTGAAACCTCAATACTCTTTGCCTTCTCTTTCTTACTTGTACAGGACAGCTATCCTGGGTATGAATGTCAATGTAAAAGAATATGTCACAGCTGAAATAAGCTGACAGTTATGTGGTCCTTCCAGAATATGGATGAGTAACCAGACCCATGAGTACCTGACCCTTATGACTCAATGTAGGTCCTACCACATTGTGAGGACCACTGTTGTTTGGCATTTTTGGTTGTGTCACATCAATTGTGACCACAGTGGCAAGAGCATGCAGAAGCCTAAATGACCTTCAGATTGGCACCATAGTCACTGATGACCTGAGCATAGGGAAGAAACTGAATTAGGGGAACATTGAGCATGCAATGCTTCAGCTACATAGTGAAACTGATCACAAACTAGGCCATTAAGAGCCAAAGAATGGTGCAGAACCTACTGAGCATTGCAGTAGTTCTCCAGCTGTGAGAATGGGTTTTCCAGTGACTCTAAGTAAAAAACTAGGAGATGTAGAAGGACCTATCTCATAACCACCTTATCCAGGACATGCCTTCCAAGTGGAACACATTGTTCCATGTGCTTGAGTGATTCATTGTGCAGAAAAGAACAATTAACATAATGACCACTGAGTCTAACTTCAGAGAACTGATCAGCTGTAACCAGTGGAAGGTCATGCAGTCTGTTTGTGACACATTGAGACCCTTGGATGAGCACCCACATGTCCACTTTGAGCCAGGTTATCCCCATGATCCACATTTTCAGCAGGAAGTTTGAGATGCTGTTTGGGGAGATTATGGGCATGACACCATGCTGAAGTTGCTGAAGGAAGCCCTAGTGAAGTATCTGTCTACCATCCTCCACCATCCCACGTTCTTCTTTGGCATTCTGTTGGATTCTCACTACAAATCCTCCCTATTTACAGAGGAGAAGGTAGAGAGTACAGGCAAGACTAGAAATAATGAATTCTACCTCAGAGGACACAGCCATCTCCAATAACTGTGTCTCAGGGTCCAGTTGAGATACTGTGATAGAGGGTAGAACCTATGGTTGCTCATGACCAAGATGAAGAGAAGAGACCAGATGAGGAAAATAACCTGAAGACATGGTACTTGTGTATTTGAAGGAGGAGGTGCTGGAGCACAGGTGTGAGCCACTCACCTACTCTCACCATTAGAGAGATCATGCAGACTGTTAGGGTCTGTAAACAAGTCAAGATGGCACCTGGCATTTTGCCAGAGGGAGTGGTTTGTGAAGTAACGCCAGCGAGCCATTAAGTGTGGAGATTCCTTATTGGTTGACTGCTGTATCTAGTTTATGTTAATTAAGATAAGCTGTGTGCGATGTATATATACCCCTCCTGTCCTACAATAAACGGCTCCCAGTCCTGCTGTATCAATGTACACAAGTTGTTCATCACCCCCACCCCCCGTTAGTTTGCTGCAGCCAGACTGTGGCAGCAGACATAAACTAAGTAAAAATTTTTCTGAACTAAAAGAAAAATAATCAAATGGACCTAATAGACATCTGGAGAATATTTCATCTATCATCAATACATAGAACATTTTCTAAAGTAGACCATAATTTACAACAGAAACCAAATTTTAGTAAATTCAACCACTAGGGATAATTTCTTATATCCTATCAGAATACCATGCCATTTTTGTTACTATGTCTCCACAGTATAGTTTTAGGTCTGGTATTGTGATGCCTCCTGCTTCACTCTTCTTGCTATGGATTGCTTTGGATACTCTGGGTCTCTTGTTTTTCCAAATTAATGTAATGATTGTTTTTTCTGTTTCTATAAGGAATGACATTGGTATTTTAATTAGAATCCTGTTGAATCTGTATAGCTTTTTGGGTAGTATGGCCATTTGACAATATTAATTTTGCCTATCCAAGAGCATGGGAGATTTTTCCATCTTCCAAGGTTGTATTCAATTTCTTTCTTTAGTATTCAGTAGTTTTCCTTCTACAGGTCTTTCACCTCTTTGGTTAAATTGATTTATTAATTGGAGTGTATTTTTTTAGGTTATTGTGAATGAGGTGGTTTTCCTAATTTCTCCTTCAGAGGATTCATCAGTGATGCATAAAAATGCATTTGATTTATGGGTATTGGTTTTATATCCTGCTACTTTGTTAAATTTACTTATTAAATCTAGAAGCTTTCTGGTGGAATTTTTTTGGATCTTCTAAGTATAAAATCATGTCATTGGCAAATAGTGATAATTTTGAGTTTTCCTTTTCTTATTTGTATCCCTTTAATTTCTTTCATCTGTCTAATTACTCTGGCTAGAGTTTCAAGGACAAGGTTGAATAGAAGTAGTTAAAGAGGTCATCAATGTCTTGTTCCAGTTTTTAGAGAGAATGCTTCCAATTTTTCTCCATTAAGAATGATATTGGCCTTGGATTTAGCATAGACAGCTTTTACAATGTTGAAGTATGTTTCTACTATCCCTAGAATTTTTTAGTGTTTTGCACATGAAATGGTGCTGAATTTTGTCAAATGCTTTCTATGCATCTATTTATATAATCATATGATTCTTTTCTGTAAGTCTATTGATGTGGTGAAATAACCTTTATTTATTTCCATATGTTGAACCAACCTTGCATCCCTGGGATGACCCCAACTTGATCAGGTGCTCTATCTTTTTACTGTGTATTTGTATGTGATTTGCAGAATTTTATTGAGAATTTTTGCATCCATGTTCTTCAGGGGTATTGGTCTGAAGTTTTCTTTCCTTGATGAATCTTTGTCTGGCTTTGATATTAGGGTGATACTAGCTTCATAAAATGAGTTTGGAAGAATTCCCTTCTTTTCTATTTCATGAAATAATTTGAGGAGTATTAATATTAATTTTTCACTGAAGGTCTTGTAGACCTTGGCTGAGAATTTTTCTGGTCCTGGGCTTTTCTTGATTGGTAGGCTTTTGATGGTGTCTTCTATTGCCTTGCTTGAAATTGATCTGTTTAAATTTTGTATGTCCTCCTGATTTAGTTTGGGCAGATCATATGCCTCTAGAAATTTGTTGGTGTCTTTGAGATTTTTTGTTTTATTGGAGTATAAATTTTCAAAATAATTTCTAATTGTCTTCTTCATTTCAATAGTGCCTGTCATAATGTTTCCTTTTTCATCACGAATTTTAGTAATTTGAGTTTTCTATCCCCTTCTTTTCATTAGGGTTGCTAAGGGTTTGTTTATTTATCTTTTCAAAGAACCAGTTTTTTGTTTTGACAATTTTTTCAGTTGTTTCCTTTTTTTTCAATTTCATTTATTTCAGCCCTGATTTTAATTATTTTCTGTCTTCTACTGCTTTTGGTGTTGATTTGTTCTTTTTTTAGGACTTTGAGATGTAATGTCAGGTCGTTTATTTGTTGAGTTTTTCTTCTTTTAATGAAAGAGCTTAATGCAATGAACTTTCCTCTTAGCATTGCCTTCATAGTGTTCCAGAGATTTTGATATGTTCTATCAGAGTTCTCATCTACCTCTAAGAATTTCTTTTTATTTCCTCCCTGATATCTTCAGTTATCCATGCATCATT